ATTTCACCTGCCGTTCGCTTCGAAAATTAAGTTTTCATCCCGAGTTCATTTGTTAAATAAAATAGGAAAAAAACACTTCGAACGGAAAACAGAATTATTTGAACGCCTGGATCTTCTAAAAAAAGGTCTCCTAGACGAGTGGCCCTGATTATATTTAAGCATGGTAAACACGTTAGCCTTAACTTGGCTGTTTCTCGAAGCTCACTGTTTTCTTACATGCCTTTTTCACGTGAAATGAGGCGATTGAATATATATAATAAACGCTAAAAGAACCACAGCTGATGGAAATTTAAAATTTCTTATCTAAAGGCCGTGGAAACAAACTTATTAATGACTCTAAACATATAGAAATCTAGAACGAAATTTTTTTAGAGTTGCTTAGCTTTTCATTTTTCCGGAATCGAAAGTCGAGATTGCAAAATTCAAGTGAAAAGCAAACCGACTGTGATTTACGCCTTAAACAAGTCAAGATACTTTTTTCTGTCATACAACAAGTTACATATCGTAAATATCATTCTCCTTGATGCCTTTCCTGGTGTCACCGATGCCTTTCCCGATGCCTCCATTGGTTAATATAACAGTAAAAATATTGTTCCAGTCAAAGCGTTTGGAAAATTGTTTAACTTTTGAATTAGCGAAGTATAACCTGGTAACATTTTGGCTTTACAAAACGTAAATATAATTATTCTTAGTGCCTTTCCCGATACCTCCATTGTTTAATACAGCGGTAAAAGATATGTGTGCCATCAACACTTTTGAAAAATTGCTTCACATTTTATTTAGCGAAGTATACTGTTAATATTTCGACTTAACAACACTATTGTTTTCCGCAACTACAACTGATATGTCTCTATATGAAGTATTAAATTTGTTTCCACGCTGACCACTCGTATTTCGGTCATTTCTTCATCTCCAGCTCGTCGCCCGAGATGTAGTAACTCCCTATTTCCACCCACTCGCTCTCATGGGCTTTTGGCGGAACTTCATTAATTTCAAGGTTTTTGGCGTGAAACCCTGAACAGTTTGAACTCTCAGGATTTCCGGAGCTTGACAGAAACACCATCTTCCTCGGGATCCTATTTACTATTTACGCAAGGTAAGGAGAAAGAAATTATTTAAAATACAGTGTTGTTTTTATCTCATTTTCTGAACGTTTGTGCTCATTACAAAGTCAAACTTTGTCTCGTGTATATTGACGGTCAAACAATCGTCCGGATACTCGACAGAGCAGAAGAATGAGTAATTTATTAATTCGTCTTGTGGTTAAGTCCTAGCACCTTTGATCTCTCTAGGAAAAACACTGTGTTAGTGCTTGACCGATGTAAGATGTTTTGACTTTCCTAACATCCTAATTTAATGTTCAATTCCCCTGCAGGGCTTGACGTCAAGGCGAAGGCGGCCCGCACGTCTTCTGATCTACTCGAGTAAAAGGCATATTTTACCGCTAGAAAATGGTTCTAGCATTTCATCGCCGGAGTGGTTTTCTCGCCGTCTTTATTCTTGCCGGAATTTCTGCGATTGAATCTCAACAATCTGGAAGTAGGTTTGTGTGACAAACCTTACGTACATCTCTAGATTGTGTTTCTTTTGTGCGTTTTATGAATGCGTTTTATCATCATAGAATTCAGACACTGAGACAGGTCATGCCGCTTAAGATTCTCAGTGAAATGTTTGATCGATGAGTAACGCGCCAAAGCAGAATTTTGATGTTAAAAACGAAGTCCCCGTTTTAAGTCGAGTGAGACTCTCCTCTGATAGTCAAATGTCTTCGAATCTTACCAAAGAAAAGTGTTACAATTTTATGCGCGAATTTTTGGCTCGCTTTTAAACCTTATCGGCTCTTTGTTGCGTCTCAAATTTTGTTATCGCACACAGGTAATGGCAGTAATGAAATAATATTTATTGAAAAAACTTAGACATATGTTTCTCAGCGTGATTTTGACAGTCATCCAACAGTGGGATCCTTGGAGGCAACTATCGAAAATGATTTCGATTACCCAATTTATTTAAAAGTTTTAAAGAAAGGCATGGTAGAAATTTAAGTTATTGTGCTCTTCATCGTCCAAAACTCTTGATTCTTTGCTACAATACTTCTTCGTGAACATTCGATCAACAATGGGTTCGTTTGCAAAGTAGTGCGTGAAATTTCAATAGCTTTGTTCAATATTGGTTTACAATACAAACGGGTTGTTGTTGATATTTTACACCCTGATGTAGCGGAGTAACCGGAAAGTTCGAACACGGGTTAATTTTGAGGTACTGTCAGAATCCAAGGCTTCTTGGTACAAGTTGCATCTGAAAGAGCACGTACACATTATATTTTCACAACATGACCTCTAAAAAAGAAGACACAAATAGCATACAAGCCGGAATTTCGCGGGTCGTGTTACAATTTTTGGTTCGATTTCAGCTCAATTTCCTAATTTATTGCGATATTAGCAAACTTTTATATTATTCCGTCGCCGTTTCGTTCTAATCGTTTGAGTTAATTTGCAGTTGTGGCGAAAACAAAAGATTAAAGGACTTTGATATTTAACAATTGATTGGTCGACTGAAAAGCTTAGTCATTCGTTCAATAATGCTAAATTTTCACAGTATTTTTTTTTATTTGAACAAAAATCAGCTCTCGTTCCATTTTCTTTCATTGCAATCAATAAAAAAAGCTTCAGAACAGATCTTGCAGACGCCAGCAATCGAAATTATTCAAGAACTTTTTCAGCTGGGTCAGTTTTGGGAGGGAAATTTGCATATTTCCATCGAGCCCACTCTAAAATCATGCAGGATCATGATTTGCCTCTAGCTATCGAGAAAAGCCACACATCTAGCGGTCTCTCTGATCTCGTGTTGTTCCATTAAAGTGGTTGAATCTTTATTCACAATAAATGATACAAGAGCACAGCCTGCAACAAACGTGCAAGGTATATAAATGTGTTAATAAATAAGAATAGAAACTGTGGTGATCAATAAATAGTACTAAAAGCCCTTATATGAAAGCTCTCTTAAATCGGCCATGTGTAACGTAAGTTCCCTTTTTTGTGCGGCGAAGAGCCGAAGATCATGGAGGCTTTGATAGGGACCCTGGTGATCTTCTCGCTCAGTGGTCATCATCACCTTCGTGTAACAATTAAACGGGCTGATCAAAAAATTGGTGTCGGTCTCTATATGGGAAGTAAGAGAAGTGAAATGTTTATCTCAGTTGGTCTACTTACCACATTGAGCGAACTCAAGCATCAGTGGAAGATCAGCGCGCATGTGCGTGTGCGACCTCATCCATCCCCCCCCCCCCCCCCCCTCCAAACAAATGTCGTCAACAGGGCTCGTGCCCGGTCACAATTGTTCTTTCTAAAAGTAATCTTTTCAAAGTGGGTAATATGTCCTGTATGAAATTGAATTTGGTTATTTTTAAAACGGTCTGGGTCGACATTGATACACTTTATGTTGTTAATTTTATAAACAAAAAAAAAGCACAAATTAAACGCGAAAACATCGATGGCTGAAGAAACTCGTGCGAAACCGGTTGACGTGTGTTCATTTCCAGTCTCCTTGCGTGAAACAAAAATTTTATCAAAAGCACGATTTAACTTTAATTTATTGCTTAATGCCTGCTACTTTTTTACTAGTTCTATGTAGGGTAACACCGCTTGTTTCTTCCTTTTTTTGCGTCAGTATGACGCCACGACAATTCCAGTTTTTGTCAGAACATAATTTATCGTGTTGATGACGCAAAGACTCGGCCACGATCGAACCCTGGCAGTGACACAGTCCTTTATGGTTACCGCCACAGATTAAATGCCAATTATTTTTTTTCTGAGAATTTATTCGCTGGTAAGCACACAAGGAATAAGTGTTACTAAAATTCTTTCTTTGACACAACAAATACAATACGCAGTACACTTTTTTCTCCAGACTTTAGAGTTGCGCAGCAACTGTCATCTTTGAAAATAAAACTGAGCGTTGTAGTGTAAATATTTTATAGTATGAAGCCTTTTACTCCTTTCGTCTAAATGTTCAAGATTACTAGCTGTGAAAAAACAACTTCCTCAAATTGACTTTTGCAAAAACCTGTTTTTTAAAAACCGGCAGCTCGCTGGGTGAAGGAAAATGCATGATTTTCCTGGCTCCTCATCCACTGTAATTTTTTATTTTAAACGGGATACGTCATGACTTGCGCACGATCATCAAGAATCGAAAACAAGTGACACGAACGGGCCGTTTGCGGCCTTTGCTGTTGAGTTTTATACGATCTGTGACCAAAAACCCTGTGGTCGTCGACTTATGCCGCCACGCGCTCTGCTTCTTGTCAATTACGATGGGAAACAACACACTTAGATGACACCTAGTTGGCGAACACGTAGCGTGACATAGCCCCTTTAATTAACAATTCACGTCAAACCTGGAGGTGCCCCTGATATTCCAATGACAAGAAGTATATAGGGCTAAAGTCAGTCTTTTCTCTTCCTTTGCAGTTGCGCCTGATTTAAGGAAATCTTCTCCTCCAAGGGTCGTGAAACCAGTAGGACAAGAGGAGGTGAAACTGGTGTGCAATGTGAAATACGCTAAAAACTACACTTGGTATAAGAATCATAAAAAGATTCATCAGCCGGCTGATCGAT